GAGCCAAATCTCTGGCCCATCATCTGTGCTCATTTCATGTCAGTGTTTAACTATCAGCTGGATCTGGGACTACTTTGAAAAACAAAATTGGACAATGATAGCAAATATGCGTAAGAATTAGAAACTCAGATATGTTAAATAGTTACTTCTGCGTGACCAAAGAAAAATATGACAGTGAAACACATTACTGATCAACGACAACAACTGTTCATGACAGAGGAGTGAATAAATGTTGAGGTGGTAGAAGCAGGAGCAATTAACCTCACTTAGAACAATCCTGTGGCATGTTTTTCAATAGAATATGGATCGAACAGGTTATTAAGGCTCCATACGACCAGTATATAATGCATAGAAGCTTTATTTAAAAACGTAATTTTGGTTTTCCAAAGCGTGAGAGCGCGATAGCATGGGTATGGCTGTTAATCTTTGAAGAAACGCGTGGGTTCACAACGCAATGAATATCTAACAATTTTGCATTGTTTGACCCACTAGAACTCAAGATATCTATGAAAGCTTACTGTTTAGGCAAGAAAAGGAAAGTTTTTAACCGGTGGAATGTCAGTCTTCCTTCACTTTCATGACTGGGCCTTTCTTTCCATTAAGCATGATGTGAAGCACTGATGATTTCTGTGCCATCAGCAAGGAGCACCTTACTTTTCTAAAGGCAGAGTAAACAGCCATGTGGCAACCGCAACGTGTAGTTTCCTGTTTCCATCCCACACAGTGTGCCTATCCATCAACCTGGGAAAGAAGAGCGAGTGACTTGATAGGGACTTGAACTGGGAACCTACCGGTTCTCTCTTTAACGCTTTACTGACTGAGCAATGCCGATCTGAAGCAATATGTAATAAACTCCTTGCTCAACGAAATTCATGAATACGGCGAAGATCGTCCTCGAGCGGAATCGAACCCGGCACCTCCAGAATTCGAAGCAGGTCTCTTAGACACTATGTTGGCAAGCCATAAAGACAAAAGAAAGTAAAAACATGCAAAAGTTAAGTGAAGTGAACTATGGACAAAATTATTAATAAAATATGGTTTACAGATCTACTGGGCAACTGCTACGTGATGGTCCTTACTGAAAATTTATGCAATGAATTCGGGACCATATGCCATCACGCCTTTGTTTCCACAATCGAACCTCCGACTTACCATGAAGCTGTTAGACTTAATTATTTGAACATGAAGAAGCATGTCTGGTGATTTTATTCAACGTGTTCCTACGGAAGGTGAAAATGGAAGAGAAAGAATGAAGAGTACGAGTTTTTCAAGAGCTATGCGAAAAGTTAAATAGCTAAATCTTCACAATACTGATGGCAAAAAATACTTTCTGATAGACGAAGAACAGACTTTGTCAGTCGATAGTGGATCTTATTAGGAATGAAAAATATATCGATTTGAATTATGTATCTGAACAGAGTTGCGCTGACGTCTAATTTCATTTGGTGACTCTCCGTAAATCAAGTCTTCTGAGTCCTCGTTAAAAAGAAGGGGCGAAAATCGAAATACGTGATCAGTAGCCGTTAAGTGAAATCTGAAGCGGTCGGTTAACAAAGCAATGTCATCCGTTGCTGAAAAAGTTCCTTACTATTTTTAATTTAGTTCTGATTAACAGGTACAACTCTCTGAAGAAATTCTCGAATTGGAAGCCGCACACCCTCTGAACAGAGATGTCAACGTCTGACGCAAAACGTAGCTCCAAAAACTTACAAAATTTTCAGACTTAGAGTCATGCATCTCAAACTGCTCCATTAGGAAGGTTATTACGTAACTATTCATCGCAAAAATGCGGCGAATATTGTAACAACTCCAGTTCAGACTTTTGAATGATTAATTGCAGAACCGTGCATCATTGTCGTTTGTGACTTCCACGTGGGAGCAATTTGTTCACGCTTCAATTAATGCTAAAGATGGGTTTCTGGTAACCAGGCTGTCCTTGTGACAAGATTTAGTTCAATCACATGTTCCAATGCAAACCGATGTGTGCACTGTCAAGAAACAATTGCTTCATTAATCATTCTGATTCTGGATATACGACGAAGCGGTGCACGGTGCAGAAAGCCTCTCCCCCACACTTACATTAGAATTCATGTCTCTACGGCGTTGATAGAAATCTTTTCAAGTGCATAAGCGAACGTGACTCAAACTTCCACTGAAAACGGTTCTCGCTACACAAAGCCTCTCCTGTTAGAGACCCCTTTGTGAAAGCATCGATAGAAACCTCAGCCTCAGATCTGTTCATATGGATTAATTACTGTATAACTAACTAACGGTAAAGTAAAGTTGGCGTGTCAGAAAACTTTCACAGTCAACCCTGGGTGCTTCATCTTACGGGTATGCACGGCTGTCTAATTTATCGCTCCTATGCTGCCTTTTCGTCATTTGCTATTACCATAGATGAGCATCCTGAATACGTTCTGCCTCATTTTATTTTAGATTTGCTTTGCTCTCTAACTGATGAGTCAGTTAGCAAGAAGCTGGCCGCATGATATTGCACATGGTTTTAGGCATGACAATGGAATGATGCAGTAATCATAATATATTTACCGGCAGCATGGTTCGACAAATCAAAAAATTCATATGGCACCTGTTTATCTCAGGATATTATGCAGGCTGACCATGTTAGCTGAAAGAATCATCAAAGCAACGAACGAATCTTCAGTCTAAGAAAGATCATTCCCATCTATTTAACGGTACAACCTTTTACCCTCTCCCTCTCGTCTTACTACCAATCTCTTCCGGTACGTGCCTCCTTTTGGACCCACCGAACTGTCGTACGTTACTTGCAAGCACAGTCGCCACGTGCTGCAGCGTAAGTAGGAGTTTTTATGGTATAATCTCTCTTACAGACACCATTGCGTAAGTAAATATCTTAAATGGGTTTTACCTTGTTACCATGGCGGCGATGGCGTGAAATAATTGAAAATCGAAGGAGTACAATCAATGCGCTAGTCTGCTGAGTTTCCATTTATTGACGACCATGACTGAGGCGTTAAATCACTTTGCGTAGGATTCACACTAGAAACGACGAACAGATAAATCAAGCTTACAGCTGTAACACGTCCAGCGGCAATAGAAGTTATTTATAGCAAGAAAACGAGCTAACGATTTTCAGGGTTAATGTATGAGACCGGTCATTTGTCTTTCAGGACGCAAAACTGCACAACACCTATGGGCAGTATCCCAGCACGCTTGTCTAATGAAATGATCATTTTTGGTTTAACGACCTCAAGTGACATTCAACACAACGTGGGCTTTGAAAATGTACAGATTAAAATGGTCTGACGCTTTTTCGATTAAGATACAGCAAGACCTTTAGGTACCAATTAAACTAGATTTACGATACAAATAAATTTTAAGACCACCGGCTTTTTATCGCTGGAAGGGAAGAAAATCCACAGTCAAAGCACCGACAAACGCCAAGACCCTGTAGGATAGTTAGTATTCCCGTAGCGTATAAAAAAGTTCAACCTTCAGCATGTACAAAGAATAATTAGTCGTGCTTCGCGTGAAAAATGTTCGCCTGACATACAGTAACCATATAGTCTAATATTAACTACATGCAGTGCTCTGATTTAATTATCTACTGGCCACAAGAAAACGAGTAATTGATAGAACTTTAACACTGAACTAACGTGCTCGAAGAATAATCACTCAGTCTGAGACAGACTGGCCTGCAAATGTTGTGCCGTCTAAATCGCATAAAAAATGGAAAAAATACATTACGAAAGACTTAACAGAACAGAAACTTTTTTTTCTCCGCCAGTGCACATGAAAAGGGCAAACTAGAGATACGGTGCAATATTTAATTCTCTACGTGGAAACTCTAAGAGGTATTCTTATCACTGATTCACAGATAGCTATCAGAATGTCAAGAATTTAGGGGTCGTGTTTACTAGTGGTGAAAAATCTGAGGAAGAGATAGACCGGCGGATTGCAGTAGCCAGTGGCATTATGAGTTAACTGGCCCGAACTATTTTGACTAAAGAAGAGCTGAGTCTGAAGATTGAGCTCTCGGTGTTCAAGTTTATTTTCATCTTCATACTTACCTACAGTCATGAGTCATGAATTATGACTGAAAGTCTTCGATCCCGGGTACAAGGGGAGGAAATAGGTTTCCTGAGACGAACCACTGGCCACACGCGCCTCGACATGGTCCGGAGAATAAATATCCGCAAGAGCCTTGGTATACAAACAGCCGGATTGAAAAATGATAGCTGTGACGACTTGAGCACGTCATGCGAATACTTCCAGAACGGATGATGAAACAGCTCTTTCCTAACCGACCGGCCGAAAACCCGGAGGACGGCCAAGAGTGATCTGAAGCAAGTGTCTGAAAAGAATCTGCGCGCCGGACTCGAACTGTCTTCTGCCGAAGCTCAAACGCCGTCACAGGATCTGGAGCGTTGGACAGATCATCTCATGTACGCCTGCTTCTGCGACCCGAATGGATAGCGCTCATCGAAACCCACTAACTGATTGTTGCGATGCCATGTGACGATTTATTCTTTACATTGTGATTAGTTAACGGAACTCTGAAAATAGCACAAAACGGCTTATTTATAAGTAACATATGATTTGGACAATCGGTTGATGGATCACTACCGAAGTTTCTTCGCGTGTTTCAGGGTCTTCAAGGAAAAGAGGTACGGAGGTAAGAAAATCTTTTTAGTCGTTCGCGGCAGTTCGTACTTTCGGTGCCAGAACGCGAAAAAAGAATTTTCGAAGCTACCCCACCTCTTGTTCCATTGATGAGGGGGGGATTAAACGTTCGTACTGACCAGTCAGATGACCGACCAATTTATTAGCGTTGCATATAAATAAATTGTTGTGATGCTTTCGGAATAACCACCAACGTATGAATCAAATACTCAATCATGTAGAATTTAATGACAAATCCGCTTCCCTCCCACCCAATACTTGAACGCCGTGCACCAACTAACAGGTAAACAACTTGTTCTAAAAATTATGTTTTAGAAAGGTGTTCCTTGGCGGTGATACGTTCAACCTCGAACATTCCATTGAGCAACCAGGAACCTGCTCATTCAAATGGGACACGACCGGAATTTCTGAGTCAAAGCGAAGAAACAGGCATACTTTACAATTGGACATTCAGGTATGTCGTAAAATTAAAAAAATGCTAGAATTAAATCATATTGAGCTAGAAAATCTGGCTAATGCCAGTTTTTAAATTTATAAGTTCAGAAAATCGCAGTGTAGTCATCCCAGCTTATATATTTATTATATTTATCAGAAAACATTTAATTCCAGCGACGGTTTAGCTGGCTGGAATAAAATTTAGAACAGAAAATAAATTACTAGATCAATATCATCCCACGAAAATCGATTGACGAGTCAGAGTCTGATCAGACGAGGAGGAAGTAAACTGTGAACGGTCAGAATAAATGAGACTTGCATATGTTAAATTGGATTTCTCAGACAAAGTGTACAACTTGCTGTGGTCATTTTCTCCTATCATAAACATTCGCATTTATATTCAGAAAGTAGGTAAAGGCCAATAAACCATTCAGGGTTTAAGGATTCATAAAGACTGATTAATCAGTTTCAATGTAATGACTGTGACTGTATTGTGTAACCGTATACAAGAAGATTCACAAATCTGTTGTAATGAAGGGTGATGATAGAAGGTGATCAGTTTTTATAGTAGACATGAGAGTCTGCAAGATTGCCAACAATTACGAAAACGTAAGAAAAAGGAGACTACTTGACATGAATATGTCGATTTATTACCAACAATAAATATTCTCTTACCTTTAAAATTCATTTCCTTTTAGTACTCAGCAGTCAGCGTCCAGCACGGCTTGCAGTGCAAATTTTACAAGCTCAACGACCCACATGCCAACTGGGGCGATAAAGTAGACTGGATCGTTTTAAAATGTTCCCATTCAGAAGAAAATAACGCCACTGTCACGGAAGAGGAATTTGTCTAGAATAATATGAAAAAGCAAAGCATCGACAGACCAGTGAAAGATCCTACGGCAGAACTTGCTTCCTTTTGAACGTGAATGTCGAATGTTATACTGCAATGTTACGTCGTTTCGTTTCCGTGGCAAGCAGATGGTGGCACCGTGTTCTTGTCCGTGAAATTAGTTGTGATAAAAAAGCCTATGAATACTTTCATAGTTTCTTTTTGCTTATTGTAAGCGAGTGAATAATGAGTTATTAAAACGATTTCAAAACACGGGGTCAAAAACGGACAGAAAAAATGCACTGCAATGTCATTATGTACTTAATGCATTTTACTCAGCACTAGTCTTAATTTTGTATTTTTACCCAGCGGTAGCACGATTCTAATATTAGCTTTAAGTAACGTTCACCATGCCTCATTTCGAGGACTGAGATGAGATTTGAATAGTGATTTCCCCATTAAATTTACTTTGTTATTATTAGAACAGCTACTCGACGTATTACAGATAATTTTCTGTGGAAACAATTGAAACAGCACAGAACGATCAAGGCAGAAAACTGCTAAATGCGGAGGTGAGCCATTTCCGCTGAAAGTGCAGAATTTCAACAGCTACCGAATTGTAAGTTACCTTGCGTATGTTGAACAAAGAAGTGACGGGATTAAGTAACTCAGTCTATGTACAAATAAGCTCCCACTTAAAACATACACGTAGACACAACTCCTTTAGTACTGTAACTGTCAGCTTCATCGCTCATTATATAGAGATTATTTTGACCAATGCGGATGTAAGTATATAAAAGGTACAAGTACAACCTAAACCTACAGGTTACCTTAAACATTGAACGTTATTTTTCATGCATTATCTTTATCTACGTCCATGATTAATCAATCATTCTTTTAAACGGAACCTCGGACCGGCTTATCTATACTTCAGAGTAAGGTAAATAATTCCAGCTTTAAAATCATCGAGTTCTTCAAATAGTTGCCATGAGATACACGTTCTACACCCCTCAGCATTTTCATTTTAACTGGAAACAACGTCTTTAAATACAAAGATAGGTGCATTGAGACGCCTCGAAAAATATATTTAAGTGAAGTTTTCATAACCAACGCTGCTTTTCACTTAGCAAAAATTTAAATTCATGCTGAATATCATTGTAGGTTCCCAAAAGTCTCCTTAAATAATTTCCCGTCTCTTAACTGCTTCTTTCTTTATCAGTTATTGCTAACTATCTGTTTCTCCTTTCGAAATTAATCTACTTATAGTTTCGTTTTGCAAAGGCTCCCACAGCACTTTCTAGAAAGACAATCCACTGTTTGGCGTAAAAAACCGTTTGAATGGTCAAACTCTTAAAATACATAAGGTACTTATCGTTTGCGACTGCTTGCACAAACTCAATATGTCAGACAATACACACAGATGAAAACTATGTCAAAAACATTATAAAAATTGCTTCGGACCATGTTATCGAATAGTCCAACAAACTTTCCATTCGTTTCTAAAAATATTTCAAAAAACCCAACTTTGAATGGTTCTGCCACCATAACAATAATCAAAATTTTAATTCGAACAATAAAATACCCATGCCGAAAAACCAACATAAATGCAAAGGTAAAAGTAAAGAACAAGAGACCATTCAGCGCGGAACGTTAACATGCTCCTATAAATTGCAGTATATCACATGCAGTGAAATACGGTTCAACAAAAAATGCAATATATTAGTAAAAGGCAAAAATACTTTCCAGTTGCCATAACTGCAAAATACAAATACTGGATTAGAAAATGTATAACAAAATCAAAATTAATGACAAAATAAATATTCCTCAAACAATCAAAGATACAATTTATAAAAAATATAAATCACAAATTTTATCACAACATGTTTTTCATTCAAAAAAAGTTGTTCACTGCTTTTCCTTAAGGGTATAAACTATTGTTTTCAGGATATGAGCTTGATTCTGAAAAGAAAAAATGGAAATAATGGATGCTTAACCATAGCGATAATATTTTGGACATATGAGATCGTAATATCTGAATCACTGCTGTAGATATCGCCAGTATCTAGTTAAGGCTAATTATGGATTACTCAAAGACTTTCAAACACGAAATTCATTAATTAAACTAACCCCAGAAATCTTTGACAACTGTTCAATATATTAAAAATACACTAAAGTAATATAGAAGAAAACTCGGCTCAAAAACAAATGTGATGTCCCTGACCACGCCAAGGGGAGTGCACAACAATCAAAACGATGTACCACAAGTCAAGCTGACGTATGGGGAAGAGGGCGAGTACACTGGAGTACTTAGCGGCAGAGATTTCAGTCAAGCAAATATCTTTATCATGACACAACATACATAAAAAAATTAAATCACAAGTCTTTAACGTTGATAAGGAAAGGGTATTCGTCAATCTTCAGTGCGCGATGGCTTTAAAGATCAGTCTAAAGATAATCCCCCTTCCGCCCTGCAGAGAACATCTGTGGTAAATTCGCAATTTGCATATTTTTGCTCTTATATAGGGGTAGTTCATATGACACCGACCGAAGTACAAAGAGGAGGGTATGGTAAAGAGAATCACAACGTGAGGATGTCAGCTCAAAATTTATGGTAGCGATGTCAAATATCACTGAAAATAGCGATTTCTAACTGGCGGGTAATCTAAAAGATCCCAAGGAACTCAAGGATCTAAAGAAGAAACACTGATCGTTACTTACCTTGGCATGTTTCATTTGAAGTTCAGCGTGCTCAATGAGACTCTTTTTGAAAGCGGCCACTCTTCTAACTTTCAAATTAGCCAGTTCTGAAAAAAATGAGTTTAGGATTAAATTCGAGATAGAATGATTTATAAAAACGCGATGCCTCCAAAGGAAGAAGTAGAATGCTTAGATACACCACTCGATACTTTTGAAAAACAAGCCAAAAGTTCGGTAGATTTAATATTAAACAACAACCAGCATTGTAGACAGTGTATCAGATATTTCAAGTATGCACAAGAATAATAACGTGCAAACCAGTTGGATGGTATTACATTTGTTAATATATTCCCGATATAGACTCATTTGTGATGTTGGTGTTAACGTCAGTAAGCAGTATCAGTTTCTGAGATATTTCTGAGACATCTCACTAAGCAGTAATGAACGAAGCACTACACATGCCTAGATACCATAAAGCCGTACTTTTTGGTAACTAAACATCGAGGGAACTAGAACATCAGGAAAACGCCGTTTAACGCGGTTTGATGACACTGCCTTTGGTTTCATGAGTTACATACCTTGATGCTTTATTCTCAATGAAAAAAGTCCTTCATATTTTTTTATTATAGTAGTTTAATTAGT